AGGAAAAATCAGCTCTGAGAATATCAACCCCAATTCTCCTTTCACAGTTTCATGTGTTGTGTGCTGTCATATGTCATGGAGGAACAGCCTTACCTGTGATTCAGCACCTCTTGTCTGCAGAGATCCCCTGCCCTTTGGGACACCACAAGTACTCACAGGGTACTTACTAGTCTTTCACAGCTTGTGGTGTGGGCTATCCCATAATCCTGCCTCTTCTCATGGCATGGAAACGAGCTGTCAAAATTTCCACCATGCTGAGGGTGTGGGTACAGCCCTGGGAAAGATTAATCCTTGCCATGTGGCATTGGTTGTTTTTTGTTTTTGTCCTTTCCAGGAGGCTACAGCTGCCTTTGCCCCCACTGTTGTCTCTGCAGGGCAAAGCCCTGCTGGTGGTCAGGACTGGGGGTTTCATGTGCAACTGTCAATATCTTGGTTAAAAATCAGTCTTGGTTTTGTCAGAGGAGCAAAATCTTTCAACAGGGTGAGATACACCACAGTATGCCCCAGGTCCTCTTGTTCCCCTGGCAGAAGAGCCCATCTGAAAGCCCCTGGTCACCAAACCCAGCAAAAGCTCAGCATGAACTCATTGATCCCTGCTGGCCGCTCCCAACTCAGGAGATTTAATGATTCTCTGGAACACTGAGTTGTCCATCTATTCCTGTGCCTGTTACAGGCAGTGAGGAGGTGCTGTGCCTAACACCAGCTTCTGGGAACAGCAAATTGCTTATTCCTCCTTATGACTGCCTTACAGAATGTTTTTATTCTATGTGGGAGTCTGACTCAAGAAGAAAAAAAAATTCTAATGAAAATCTCTAATGAAATAGCATCAGGTTCTCTGACTTCTGAGAATTGGCAGAGGAGTTCCTGGCTATGAACTGAACTGCAATACACTTAATTTTCAAGTCAATTTAGTTTGCCCTCAGAGAAGTGCTTCTGGTATGTGCTGAATACAGATGGCTTAAGGCTGCATAGTTCCTCCAAATGTTTAGCATGAAATGCATTCATCTGAAGGATATATTCTGCAAATGATGAATCGTAGAATCCCAGAATTCCAGCTTGGGAGTGACCTCAAGGATCATCCAATCCAACCTTTCTTGGCAAAAGCATAGCCTAGACAAGATGGGCCAAGCACAAAAAGAAGTTACTAGTCATGAATTAACAGTGTTAGTGAGAATACTACATATTGGTGCAGAAGGGTTTTGTTTCAAGAAAAGGATCCTGTGTGTTCTGAAGTGAATGTATCCACTGCCTCATCTTCACAGCTACCTTGGGTAACACATGGCAGAGGTGAGACTGCACAGACAGCCTCAAGAGAGGTGTGAGGAATGTGATACTCAAGAGGACTCTTATAACAACACAGGAATTTTTAAACTTCATTTGGCATCAGCAGCTTTAAGGAAGAAGTACCACCAAGAAGGAATGAAGATTCCTGCCCCCTGATTTTGTGTTTAAAAAAAGGTCAGGCAGAATTCCAGTGTAGTTAACTGCCAATGTTCCTCCTCTCTTCCAGCTGACGAGCATCTCATTTATGAAAAACCTTTAGGTAATTTTTTCCCCCAGTGCTAGTGCACACTGTGCTATCCATGTCTTCTGCACCTGATGTGTGACATTTTCCATGAGGTCTGATTATTTTTAGTACTAGTTTGTTGCTTTACCAGGAATTTTAGGCATCACTCCCTTCTGATGTAATGGCTTGTGATCGGAAGTAATTTGTGCAGATGAAGTGATTGGAGAGCAGACACTGCTGAGAGCTGGGACTAGATCATCATGAAGGCAGTTTGGGAACAAAAAAAGCTTGAGTGTGTGTAAAGAAATGAATGGAAAGCCCCCAGGAGTTGTCATGGAAGCAGGTTTTACCAGAGGAGCAGAGAAACAACTCCCTTAGGGATTGCAGAAGCACAAAGAACAAAACTCAAGGATAAAGTTTCAGGAAATGCCCAAGGTCAAGTAAACAATAACGTGTTATGCACCAGGAATGTTTCACATGGGATTTCCAGGTGCTATAAAATTCCAGTGTAAAAAGCACCTGCTCCAGTTTTTAGCATCCATTGTAAGAACTCAGCACAGGGGAAAGGCTCTTGCCACCTCACCACTCCCCCTTATCTCTCAGGAGAGAAATTTGAGGCAATTTGAGTAGAAAACTGTGCCAGGGGGGAGAGGTCACCCAGCCCAGAACCTGTCTGCATGGCAGGGGAAATTCAGCCTGTCTTCATTAATTGTTCATCTAAGTTTTGAGAAATCTATAGACAAATACTCAAGAGTCTGAAAACAGTCCCAAAGGTGAAGGCAAACTGAGCCTGTGGTGCTGCTTTGGGCAAAAGCTGAGGAGCAGCAGCAGAGCTGGACATGGGGGCAGGATTCACTGTTCTTCATGTGTGAACACTGCTGGTTGTGTGCCAGGAATTACCATCCACATTAATCAGATTTTTTGATTTAAAGGGATATTTGTCAAGTGCAGTGACAACACCACTCAGTCTTTCTCTGTAAGTTCTCTCCTTGACACCATGTGCCAGGAGAGAGATCCCAGGATAGTGTTAAAAATCCAGTGAAATACTAGATCAATTCAGAACTCTCCAAAAGTACTTTAAGGCAGGCTTCTAGCTGAGCCTTCCATTTCCAGATCTGTACTACCACATCAGAGTTAGTTAATCAAGAACACTTCTGGAAATCATGACTAACCCAACAATCTCATATACAGCTAAAACATCACTGCTGGAGACACTCATCAAGATTATGATCTGTATTGTATCAGCAGATCCTTTCCCTAAAAAAACTGCTGGATTTGCTGGCTGTGTCAGCAGTACCTAAGCAGAATGGTAAGGAAGAAGAGACTAAAAATAGCTCAGTTAATTAGTAATAAAACCATCCTACAGCACTGGATATTAAGTCCACTTCATGATGATGGCTTGATTTCAGTTTGTCAGAGTAGGAAGGATGGCCAGGGGCACAGACCCTAAAGAGTCTCTGTTTGCTCCACTTTCTGAGACAGATGTTAGCAGCCAGGGACTGGACTAAGATGCTGGACTTACTCTGAAGCTGGGTCTGATTTGTCTTGGCATTTTCCATGGTTCTGTGGAACAGAATGTTGTAGCAAGTAGGATGAGCTGTGACCTCAGCACCCCTGCGACACACATGTCACTGCGGGACGGGACTGGGTCAGGCCAGCCAAAACAGGCACTCTGCATCCTTCCAGAACTCCAAATGAAGATGGAATTGCCAGCACACAGACAGCACTGGGACTCAAAGAAATGCTTTAGAAGTGGTTTTTCAGCTCTTGTCTCCTGCTGCTACCAGTTATTGAATGTTAGCATAGGGAATTCCAGATGGGTGAGAGAATTCCAAAGGGGTGAGAGAAATGTAACCATCTGTCCATGCTCAAATAAGGCAAGTGGGATTCTCTGCTGAAGTTACTGAACTCTTACCTTTATCTCATGGACAGCATGCCAAAGGGAAGAGGGATTACAAAGTGCAGATGATCAATCTGTATCCCCTTGGGAAGATAAACCAGCTCTTCAGGCAATTTCATTGCTGTGAACAGGCATGGGCAAAAGAAGTCCAATGCAAATGTATCAAAAATCTGGACAACTGACTAAATTTGAACTTTGAATTCAGAAACATTCTTGCTTTGAGGTCTGGTAGAGGGGTCACTTGAAACAAAAAAAGCATTTCAAATAAGTCTGTGCTTTCTGTAAGTATAAAATGTGAAAAATTATTAAATTTCCGATCAAAATATAAAAAATTGTCCTGTCTGCTGGGATGCTGCTGTGGAAGGTCACTTTGAATTAGAATGAACTTTACACTGTTGGTTTCAGAGAAATCCTCCCTGATTTGTTGTGGCCAGAGCACACTCATACATACCTATCCCAGCTTGGGCATGTCTCTGGGAAAATGACTCTCCTACGCCTGAGAACTTGGAATCCTGAGGTCAAAACATTGGCTTTAAGACACTCTGCTGATATGGACCACAAAGCAGACTGTGTCTAGAAACTGTTTTGTCCTTTCTGGTTTCCCAGGGAAAAAAGAGAGCAAGAGATCTGAAAACAGTATGTGGAAATCTTGGAAAATTCCTCGTGTCCTAAAGAATAGACATTTCAAGCTACTTGACTAAAGTGTTTTGACTCAGCTCTTTTGTTGTTGTTGTTGACTCTTTTGTTCATTAGTTACTGTTTTACATCTTCAGTTTCATTTTCAGTACCAACTCTGCCAACCAAAGCAGCCAGGGCCACCTTGAAAACACTCAGGCTTTCCAAGTGTTTTAAAAGAGCCCAGTGAGAGAGATGCTCCTAATAATCAAAGGCCATTGGTTCTCCAAAACTTTAGTACTCTTGAAAATCTCAGGCCTGCATCACATGCAGCACCCAAAAAAAGTGCCACTTCCTACAGAAGGTGAGTGATTTCCAAGGGATCCTCCACATTCACAGAACACACAAGACAAATGACTGACTCACTAGGTGTGAAGGAGCCTTACCTCTGCTGAGAAGCAAAGATTCTGCTCTTCAGTTTGCAATTTTTTCTGCCGACTTCATGAACTTTATGATACAGCCCAGCTGCCTTTGTGCTTTGACCCAAATGTGAGCAAATGAATGATGTTGTCTCTCAAAAAACATCTATGAGTTCCATGCAGGAAATTCAGCAGAAAGTTCTTTGAGAGAAGCCAACTAAGAGACTAAACAAATACTATGGACTGGCTCAAGTACAGCTTGAATGACGGCCCCTTCATTATGTCAGCAAACAGCACAGACTGTTCACCAGGGCCAGGAGTAAATAAAACAGCAGAGGAGCAACACCCATTGCCAAACCACCATGAAATTCATGTAAAAACTCATATTCAGGGAACAGATAATGATATATCAGCCGATCTAGCTGAGTAGGTGATGTAAGCACTGAGCACTGTTTTTCTATTGAGTGCTACCTTTCTGTTTTTTCTTACAATTAAAAAAAACAAACCCCTAAGGGCTAAGTACTGCTATTCCCAAATACCACTGTTTCAGCCAGGGAAGTTCAAATAAGTAGGAAGCTTTATTGCATACTGATTTCTTCCTGCCTAGAGGTTGTTTTCAGCTTAGAAAGATCACAGAGAGGGCCTTGATTCACTCCAGTTACAGAAGATCTCAATTACTCTTAGGATTATAGAGTGCACAAAGAGACTGGCAGTCAGAGCAAGGCAGTGCTTCTGGAATCGGGGTCCTGGTAGGAAAATCCATTTCAGCCAGCACAGCTGGATTTGATGAGGTCTTTTCCAACATTAACAATTCAATGATCCAATTGCTGATTTCCACATCTGCTTTTACCACAGGTCAAAGTTATGAATCAACACCCCGAGTGAAAATCAAGTTCTAATCAATCAATGCTCTCTCTCCCCACTACACAAACAGCAGCATAACAGGGCCAGTAACACCCTGCAGGAACATGGGGCTGGAGCAGCAAGGATCTTGGCAGTTAGGAGGAACAGCCATTCCCCAGGCTGTTCCTCCCCTTCAACATTCACCTCTGCATTTCCTTCAGGAGTTCCTTCATGTCACCAGCCTCCAGCCTGTTAGACTCACAAATCAGGATTCACAAAATAAGATAGTAGAAAAATTAAGTCTTTTGCATTGGCAATGTGTAGGTTGCTACATAGGATGCTCAGAGGCCAATGACAATACTTAATGTAAGAGATTCCCACCCCCCACCCAGCTGGAATCCTTGGCTCAAGTTTTTTTTTAGACACAGAAAGAGAATATTTGTCTCCAAATTTAGGAAAGAATCAGGTGTAATAGGAATCCAGTGGATCACCTTCTTTAAAGGGAACACAGAAGTGTGTGGAAAGAGACTGTCCATTGCTAGGCTGGCTTGCAGCTCCTACGTGATGTCCTTCTTCCTTGGGGGGCGGTGGATGTTCCTCACCACACACTTCACCATCCACTCAATCCCTTCGTTCACCCCTTTGCTAAGGAAGGCAAGCAGACAAGGTTTTAAAATAAAGCAACAACAAGAACAGAAACATGGATCATAGAGGTCCTAACTGAGCCCTTACATGTGGAAGGGAGGGGCTCTACACAGTTATTTGTTGGCATTTCTGTGCTATTTTTCACGTAGGCAAAGAATAGGGATCTGATTTCTTTTAACTCAGCAATATATACCTCCATCCTTTATTTTTCTGGTGTCTGTGCAAGTCTACACCCAACTTAGTCACCAACTCTGTGGAAATCTTGAGATGAACAAGCATCAAACCCACCTGACTGTTGGTTTGAGGTCATTTTGCCACAAACCTCACACTAGTTGTACAAGATCTTGCAATCTTGGTTCCAGCTTTGTGTAATCATCTGTGCTGGGGCTGCCAAGCAAGTCAATACCTTGCTGGTCTGCACAGCTCCCCAGCCATGACTTCCATGAGTTATTCTTTTAGTGCAAGCTCAAACTGGAATTTTGAAAGGAAATTCCACAGAGATCAAAACTAGAAATGGTCGCACAAATAAGGTTATCTAATATTTCTCTTCCAGTCAGTGCTTGAACACTGTTCTTGTGGTCATTCACCTGCTTAATGGCATGTGATTTGTAGCAATGCAGACAACAGATTTTTTTTCATGGTTCAAGAAGTTTTTTGTTATCCTTTGCAGTAGCTTATATGATAACACAGAAAAAAATTCAAAGCTCTATTCAGCCCAGGCAGCAATTCAGCCAGAAGTTTCCACCACCTGGAACAAAACTTTTGACTTTTGCCAAGCAGCACTTTTCACTTAAAGAACTGAAAGTACAAAGAACAAATGTACTGTGAGACTTGATACGCAACAATGATGCTGAGATCTCAAGAATCCAGTGGGTTGGTCAAGGTCGTGGCATGCAGCTGAGTAAGCCCAAATTAGGGTCTGTTTTAGTCATTAAATCTTAAACCACAGGCATCCCCATGTAAGAGGACTCCTGGAAACTGTGATATCATCCACATCACGAAGCTCATCTGTGTGCCAAAGAATATGAAAGCACAAACAAAATTATGGCAGCAGCAGTGAAGCATGCCCCATTTCTCTGGCACAGGCATCAATAATGGCATTTTCAACTGACTTCTAACCTAAAAACCAGGAGCTGCAGCAAACCAAAACCTGAAGGATTATTGTGAAAGGAGAAGGAATGATACAGGACAACAAATATGCCTCCAAGTCCCACTGTGCTCAGCCAGGAATACATTGTAATTGTGTTTTACAGGCAGGTTTTACAGATGAAGTTACCGAGCTGGAGCAAGTCCAAGGATCTTGAACAAGTGTGTGTCAGTGCTGGAAGGAAGCACAGCCCCCTTTCAAGGCTTAATAACTCATGTAGTGCTGCTCTGTGTGTGACACCCCACAGCTGCTCAGTCAACCAATTCTCAGTCCACCCCTTCTCATACTCACCCAGTAAGGGCTGAGCAGGCTTGTGTCAGGCAGTCTCTCTTCCCAATTTTGTTAATGCAGTCACTAAATGCTGTCTTGATATCGGGTATTGACAGACAATTCTGCAAAGGGAACCAAAGTAGAGCTTGTTTGTGCTACAAGACATATGGTGACCTTCTTCCACAATGAATCCTACCATGACTGCAGTCTTGTATCAGTCAGCATGACAATGCTATCAGATGAAACCCACTCGCCCACCAACACAGTAAATTTGCCTGTTTACATTCCAAAAAAATGAGCATATTCTTTTTTCAACAAAGAGAGTGCTGTTTGCTGACAGCACACACACTGCCTCACCTCCCTGATCCTTAATCTGTACAGTTCTAAGCAAATAGTCCTGAAAGCGAGCACAACCTGCATCCTCTAACAATACCCCTTCCAAGCTGCTCAACAGTTTATATTTACCAGGACACCACAAGAGCTTTAATATTTACAAAGTCTTTTCAAACAGTGTCCCTGCCACAAGCTCAGCTGACTCTTTGCCAGCATCCTGGGGACTCTCACAAAATTAGCTGTGATTCTTCCTCAGTTCTCAGCACATTCCTTGGCATTACAGCCATGTCCCACCAGCACTTCTCTGTTTGCACTCAGAGAAAACGCTGGCAGCACTGAATGCAGCAGATTTTCTGATGCCTGTAACTATGCTCTTGACCCCCAGCAGGTCCTAAATTTCTGTGAGTCTGCCAGGAGGCTGCTGGGAACAACAACACAAATCATAACCCCCCAGTAGATCAGTGGATTACCTTCCCCACATAAATCACAGTGTCACCACAAAAATCTTGAGGCTACAACAAAAGCAAACCTGCCCAACTAAAAGTCTGGACTTGCAGTTCCCTGAGCACTCAGTGCTCATTTTTCCCTCAGAAGCCTTGGACAAGCCATTTAAGCACTTCAACTCACAAGCCCACCTTCCCTCCTCTCTGCAAAGACATTCTGGACCTTCAACAAGTCTCAAATATGTGTTTGGAACCTTCAGTCAGGCCCACATACATGTTTTGGACAAATGTTTACACAAATGCCAAACTGGACCCTTTGTGAGTCCTGAGGATTGGCCAAGTGAACAAAAACTCTGAGAACAGAAATAAGAAAATTGTTACCAGCCATCCATTTGCAAAATACTGATTCTGGAGAAATTAAATACAGGAAATTTTTGTGGACAACAAAAGTAGATTTCATTGCTTATACGTAGGAAGGGATCTTAAGAAATGGCTTGCAAGGAGTTTAGGAACACCAATTCACCCAGTTCCCTTGGCTCCATTAACTGTGCAGCTTTTGATGACTGTACTTTCTTATGACCTCAGCTGCATTTTAAACTTGCCCTTTCAATCAGTGACCTGGCAACTGTATCCAAAAACGTTACTGACATCAGTCTGCAGAACCCTCAACAATTTAGATGAGGATTTTTGACAAGAGAAAAATGTGCAGTTCATACAGATGAGCTGTCAGCCACAGGATACACAGTTAATTAAAAAAAAAACAACAACAACAATTACTAACTTTAGAGGGAGTCAGACTGGGCTTGGGAGCTGGAATTCAAACCAGTAGGTATGCAAGATGGGCAAGAGATTACAACCAACCAACCAACCAAGTATTTCTACTGGTTTGTAAAAGCCTGGTATGGTGTCCACTGCCCAGTAAGAAAAGCAGGTCCAAATGGTCCTGGTTTAACCCAAAGCCCTGGACAAGTCAATTACCCAACATCTGGGAAGGAGAAGCATGTCAGTAATTTGAGCTATTTTCCACATCTTTGTTTTTTTCAGTCAATGAGACTTGGCAGCTGAAATTGAGCAAATGCTTCTTGAAATATACTTGAAGCTTCTCAGAGTTTAATATCATTGTATAATGATATACCTTTGAGTATATCCTTTTCTTCTTCTTGAGTCTACCTTTCCTTCTCCTTTTCTGAATGATGATACATTTTAAAATATTTTAAAATAAATCAGATAAAATGTTCACGATACAAAGTAACAACAGAGAGCACAATCATGCTCTCCTTGATTCAACTTCTACTTGCACAGGTAGCAAAGCAATCAGGCAATGAACTTCCCAACACCACCAGCAGACCAGGACACATCCTTGAAGCCTTTAAGAGTCCACTTTTCCCAGTGCAGCTAACAATGACAGCCTTTTTTATCTCCCAGTATAAACCATTGTTATCCCTTCCCTTTCCCACCTTCTGGTAGAGGTGTGGCCTGCCCCACCTTCCACAGAGCTGCCCAGCCATGGCTTTCCATGGAAATCTGCATCAGAAGGAGTTTTGCTTCTGAGGAGACTGCACCACTCACATTGTCACAGCAGGATGCCACTGCACCACCAGTCCTATGTTGAGGAACATCATTTTATCATTTTCCCCTTGGATGAAGCAGAGCAGCACAGCAGACAGGTGACACCAAACTATCAGTGCCTTGTTTTAGTGTTCCAGGGAAAGCCACGAACTGGAATCTCATGTGACAGCAGAGGCTGATTGTCCCCCACTTCAGCAAGGGGCATCTGAGCTTCTCATGCTCAAGGGAAAATGTCAACTGTGGCTTCCAAGTTCCCCTTCTCCCCAGGCACATTACAAAATATTTGTTTACAGATGTGCTTTGTTTCTCAGCTGCAAACCCATAAGCCAAGGGCAAAGAAGGGAAGCTGGATCAGTGATCACATCAGGAGGGCTCCATTACAATACCACAGTCCACAGTGACCTTTCAGGAATGATGGTATCTCTCAGGCAGTTCACAGGAACCTCTCACACAAGGCATGACAAACCAGATTTCCATTTCAGCTTCCCCAAAATAACACACTGGAAAACAGATTTTAATGAAGGCTTCTCCAGGCATAATTTAGCCAGGACTGAACCAAATTCCTCCTATGAAGGGTTCAGAATAGCATTACCCCCAGGAAGACTCAGCAATGGCACACCTAAAAATCTATCAAGCAGCAAGACAAGTTTTAGCCAAAAAAAAGGTGGCATTGTAGAGCCTTTGCCCATTTTCCAAATCCACTGGAGCAAAGACAATGCTGCTGCCTGCTCTCCTGTCAGGATAAATCCAGAAGCATGCATAAAATCTCAAGTAGAGACTCTTCAATCATCTCAAGAGTAATCAACCATCAGAATGGAAATAAAAGAAACAAGAGCAAGGTAGATTGCCTAAATAAAATATTATTTCACAAAAAGCCTGACTCACCTGACCTATGGTCTGGAACTACCTTTTTATGAGTTTGTTTTAAATTAAAATTTAAGCTTCACTAAATTTAAAGAAGGAATAGTATAGCCTCAATTGAAACCACCTTATTTAAATGGAAACTAATTTTACAGGGAAGCTGTGGGAGGTCTTCAGTTGGAAACTAGAATGACTTTCATGCAGGTCTCTTTTCTAATAGCTGTGTGGAAGTGAGTACTCTGCTACTCACCATGACTCCTCACATTTTCCAGAGACATGAGGAGGCTTTTCAACATTCTGGAGATTTCAAATGAAATTTCCAAAATTTATCATTAGATGAGGATGGCAAAACTTCCTCCCAGACATGGGTCATCATACAGCACCCAGTAATTTTCTGATTGTTAAATTTCAGATGCTGTTTTTGACAGGTCATGCTTTTCCAGTATTTTGAACAGTGTTGCATAATGAGCTATTCTATCCTCAAATTGTAACAGTTCATTGTAAAGCACAGAAATATATACCTTGTGTAAACCCTTCAACAGCTGCATTCACATCAAAACAGTAATTATTACTGCTGCTTTTTCTGCAATAAGCCATATTTTCAAAAGTGGCATTCTGAGTTGAAAGGGAGTTCACAGGAATTAGCAGATATTAGATAATTTATTTATTTCTCCTACAAAGTAATAGTGTTCCTTTAAAAATCTAAGCAAATTCCTTCCTCCAACACACATTTGACTCAGTTTTAAAATTATTCATAAAATAATCCAATTTTGAAGCCCCTGCTGAACACAGAGCATTCTCCTGATATCATAAAATATGGCATTCAGTATTGTGAGAATTAGAATTGGTGTTTTGCAGCCCATTACCATATTTTATCTCCTGGAATGACCAAATACCACTCATGCTTGGCAATGCTGAGAGGACACAATGTACCCTGGGGTTCACAGCAGAATTCTTAACACTTTATGCAATTTCAGGTTGCATCAACACTTTTGTTATCTTGATAACAGAATGTACACTTAAAAAACAAACTATGTCAGATGTTCTATTTCTGATGTACTTGACCACAAGCTTTCTGCTGGCCTCTATAGGTATCATCATCAAGACTTACCCTTAATCTCCAAATACCAGCAAGGTTAAGACACCCCTTATCCTCCCTTATCATGGCTCAGGACAGAGGGATGCTGGTGAGAATTTCCTACAGTTTTATGTCTGGAGACCAGAGCAGAAAAATCTTTATCAATGCTAATTATCAGTTTTATTCCAGAGGTCTTCCATTCTGCTAAATCAGAGGAAGAGAAACAGGCTACTGAGTTTTCTCAACCTTGTTTAAGTGAACCTACTGAAAAATAAGCTATAATCCCTTTAATGATTTTTTAAAAGCATTGATAGCTCTTTGCTGGCTCCATATCCAAGATCATTCTGTAGGAGTGGACCTCTAAATATCCAATGTAGGTATTTCTTACAAAAGGCAAACCTCCAGTGGGTTTAGCTTTGCTAATCTCTTGTTGCAGCTCTACAACTGCATGAAGGCACTAAGTCTGTGGGCTGGTCTTGGACCCTCCAGAGGGGAAAAGAAGCCAAATTTTCTTTTGAAAGGTTGTTCCAAATACCTCTTTCTAGCAATTTAAAGAAACAAAATTGTTCAATTATTTGTCTTTAGTCTGGTCAGAGTGTCAGAAAAGCCAGCATCTGCAGCCTGTAAGAAAATATGTATATACAACCAAAAGAGAAACAAGAACAAATTTCCAGGTCACTGCTTGAATCTTATCCTCAACAGGTCAAGGCAAGAGTGTAGGCTGTTCCCTGCAGAAAAGCTATGGGGCTGTACAGAAATGAGAGTCAATATTCTGGTTTCCACAGAAAAAAAGACAGAAAATTTCCCCATATTCCAGAGACTACAGCAAAGTCAGGGCCATAAATCAGGAGTTCAGTCCTGATCTCATGCTTTTACATGGAATTACATTTCTCTTATTTCTAAGACTAGATAATCTAGATAAATTGGATCATCCAAAAACCAATCTGTGTTGTACTCATGAAACCCTGCTTTAGAGCCAAGTGATTTCTATGGAAGCCTCACGTGTTTCCACAAGTGCAATCGCTTGCACAAGTGGAAAGTGCAGAGGAAGAACCTGAGGAACCAAAGCATTCACATCCTTTGGAACAGAGACTGAGCCCAGCTGCCAGGCCGGGTGCTCCAAACCCTACTGCAAGCCTCTGGCTCCATCTACAGACCAGTCCCTGGAGCTGCAGTCCTGCAATTCCAGGTACAATTCCCAGGAGGAAAACACGAAAACCACCACGAACACCTTGGGCACTCTCTTCTCTTTTTTTGCATGCTGGGGGAGGTAAGGATGGCCCAGGATGTGTCACCTAAACACTGCACCACCCACGAACTGCCAAACCCAAACCAAGAGCTTTACAGCTCTGAATACACTGGAAAGAATTCAAATTGTCAGAAAAGAGCATTCCTTGCCATTCACTGCTGTCACTGATGGAATGCTCTACAACAAACAAGTGTTTTATTGAACAGATCTTATCCAATTATGGGGAAAGGATGATTTGCTTCACATACATCTGTTGTGCTATTCCTGAGTTTTCAAAGAGTAGCATAAACAAAGTGCACTAAACATTTTTTTTTCTGAATAAACAGGAAAAAACAGCATCAGTATAGCCAGTCACGGTACAAGAAAGACATAAAGAATTCAAAACTCTGTGCCTGTAGGAAGCTCATTCATGGCACTGAAAAAGGGCTGGAGGATAAAGGAAAAAAATACAACTAAACTCAAAGTAATTATTTCCAGTGGTGGGAAAGTACCACAGGATCAGCTCAGGACTGTGGAACAAATTTAACATGAATGCAGAGTTCACCTTTCCAAGGCTTATTTGATCATTTATGTAAATCCTTCATAATTTACCTCTACATCCTGCTTGTTGGCCAACACCAGGATGGGAACCCCTTCCAGAGCTTCACTGGTAATCATCTTCTCTACAAAGGACAGAAACAAAAGCAGGTTTAGCCAGTTCTGGAAGTTGTACAAATGCCTGGCACCGATTCTCTGGACAGAGGGATGAAGCCAGAAGCTCCCTCCTGCATTACAGTTTCATTTGATACAACCTTCCAGGTCTATTTTGTTCACACTGTACTTACCAAAAGCTCTTTTGGACTCAGAGAGCCTCTCCTCATCAGTGGAGTCAATAACATAGATCACCCCATGAGATTCAGCATAGTACTGGAAGGAGAACACAGATATTGGTGTCAATCCACTGGGATCACTTGTTCCTCTTCCTGACTTGATTTTGGTACAGTTTTGGTGCATGTGGAGAAGATCAACCAGTTAGAGGCAGCTGTATCCACAGTGTGCCTGGACGGAATGGAGGCACACAGCCTGTGCTGCCTGTTCTGTTTGCAGGCCTGATCAACACACCAGGTAGAAAAACTCACCTGTGTCCCCCCAAAGCTTATCTCTATGGCACAACCCCTGATCTGGGTTGGGAATTGCTGTCTGCAACCAATAATGCAAATATTAATCACAGAAATAGTGGAATCTCTGAAAAGGTGTTAATGCTAAATACTGGGGTTAACAATAAGCCTGTGTGATTACCAAGTGATTACAGTGGTTCAGCTCTAGAAGAGACAAAACCACTTCTAAAAGAAATCACAGAATCACAGGATGGTTTGTGTTGGAAAGGGCCAACCACCTCATTCCAACCCCCTGCCAGGAGCAGGGACATCTCCCACTACATCAGGCTGATCAGAGCTCCATCCACCCTGGCTTTGAACATTTCCAGGGATGGGGCAGCCACAGCTTCTCTGGGCAAAAAAAAATCAATCAAACATTGATTCAAATAAACATCAAATATTTATAAATAAATTAAAGTATAAATCAAACAAAACAAAACCACATCTCTAACCTTGTCCCAAAGTGACTGCAGCTCCTCCTGCCCACCAAGGTCCCAGAACATGAGCCGAGTTTTGCCAACATCAATAGTTCCAACTAGAAGGAAGGAAGGAAGAAAAGGCAATCCAATGAAAACCATGGGTGCTGTAAAGCACAGACAGCTGCACACCCCACTCAGAAATCTGGGGTGGGACAGGCTTGCAGGGGAACAAATCACAGGCAGCAGCTGCTTGCAATAACACAGCAAAACCTGCATGGAGTGATCACAAATATAGAGCAGTATCAGTGCAAATAATTCCAGAATTGGGCCAAGCAATGAACTCCAGGGAAATACAGTTTGAGGATACCACTGAAATAGAATACCTGGAGTTTTAATACTTGAAGAGTTTCTCCTCCTAAGCTAATAAAGTCTATTTCGTTCTCTACAAAAAGACCTGGACAGTTGGGAGATACAATCTCTGCACCCAGGAACTATTCTGCCCTTCTGAATTCTTAAACATTTCAAACAAAAAAACAGCTGTTTTCTATCTGTGCAAGAAAGCTGAAAAAAATCCATGTGGATTTACTCACTGTTTAAGCCTACAGTGGTTGTGATTTTGGACAAACTCATCCCTTTGTAGTTCTTGTTAAATCGGGTTTTAGTTTGTTCAAGGAAGGTCTGAAAAAGAATAAGACAAAATATTTACTGTCAAACATTTTACTGGCTGGGGTAATCCTACCCCAAACCCTTTTCATTTCTGCACAATCCTGCTAGAGCAGATACTACCCTACCTAATTTTGGACAAAACACTCTTCTTGCTCCCTATTTTAGCAAGGAAAGAAGGGATCACATGTGATTATGGGATTACCCAAGCCTCAGCCACATCCCTGAGAGCTTGTACTAAATTTAAGTAATGAGGAAAAGTTGATTGCTTGGTGTGACATCACTAACTCAGGACACAGCTGAAGAGAGACTGACCCTTGTTGGAAGATTTATCCCTGGAGGATGTTAGGATTGTGTGTGCCCCTCCACGGGGTGATAAACAGCACTTACAGTTTTACCAGCATTGTCCAAACCCAGGATCAGGACACAGTACTCATCCCTCTGGAACATGTATTTATAGAGCCCTGACAGCAGTGTATACATCCTGCTCCTGCAACAAATGCCAGGAAATCAATTAGCAAACAGCTCATTCCCAAAAGCCTCTCATGCCACAACGCCAAACAATTAAGTCACTCTTTTATCAGTAAATCTCATATATAGGCAATTCCAGGAAAAATCAGAGATCTAAGAGAGATAATGAAAATAGCTCGAGATCAAATCTGGGGTTTAAAAGGGAACTGAGGAAGGACTCGAACATCTCTTGCAGTAAATCTAAGACCCACAGAAAATGAAGTGAACTTCATACAAATACAGAACAGGTATTTTGAGCTAGAATCTGCAGAAGCTCACAGCTGGATGTGCACACACAGGCCCAGCAGCTTTACTGGGATGCAGGGAGCACTGGCACCAAGTGCTGCAGCTGACTCACAGCCATTGCAACAACCCTTCTGTTCAAACTCAGATAAAGGGAACCCCAAGGCAGAGCCTTTGAGAGGCAGCTGCCTCTAAGCAAGCGCGTGGTTAAACAATCACTTTGAAGTCAAACACCATTACCTAAAGGGAAATAAAAGTGTTCCAAAGCAGGAATCGGATCGGGGGTTTCACGGGACTTCAATCCCACAGGTACCGGGGCCACCCTTCGCTCTCAGCTGACACCGGGGCGCTCCTGCCGCCCCCACGGGGAGCAGCCACCGGCAGGGGGGAACCCCGGCCCGCTCCCCCTCGGGACAGCGACTGATCCCGGGCGAGCCCGAGCGCCGGCCTGCTCCTCCCCAACCCCGGAGATCCTCCCGGACCCGGCAGATCCCTCCAGCCCCACAAGATCCGGGAGATCCGGCCCGGCCCTTTCCTGCCCTGCCACGGCCAGTGACGGCTGAAGGGGAACACCGGCCCTACCGCCATTTCCCCCTAATGGCCCCGCGCCACGTCCCGGGCCAGCGACAGGTCCCGGCCCAAGCTCCCGAGGGCAGCGGGCGAGGAAAAGATCCCGAGCCCGAGGCCCGCGGCCCCTCACCTGGTGCTGGCGCCGGTGTCAGCGCTGGAACAGGAGTCGCCTCTCACGACTCCCCAGCGCCACCAGCCGCCGCCATTCCGCGCCTGAGACTCTGGGAAATGTAGTCCTGTCGCCGCTGCGATGGCGGTGCGGGGGGGGCCTGTGGACTACAACTCCCGAATGCCCAGCGCCGCCGGCCTCCCGGGTACTCCGAGTGCGGAGCGGGTGACGCGCTGGCCAGCGCAGCCGGAAGTGGAGGCGCTGATGCCGGAAGTGGGGGTGTCATGGCGGCTGTCATGGAGGCGGCTCGCAGGGACTGAGGCGGCTGAGGGCGCGGTGGCGGCTCTGGGAGGTGCTGCCGCCCTGGGGCTGAGGTAGCGCCCAGACTGCGGGAGGAGCGGTGCCGTGCGGGGGCCCGGTGGGCGAGAGTGGACTCCGTGGCGGGGGAGGGCAGGGCCAGGCCCGGCCTCTCCTCAGACTCTCCCGTCGCCTCTTGCCGCCTGTTTCCACCAGGAGCATCGCCCTGGTCATTCCCGAGGGAAAGAGCGGGACGGCGGGTAGATGTCGCTTCTGCGGGCGAGGACTTGTTATCCAGAAGTGCTTGAGTGAACTCTGAATGTGTTTTGAGTTCGTGGAGAGGACGCGGGCAGAAGCGCCTTTCCTGTGCTGAGAATGGATGAAGAGAGTCTGGAAGCAGCGATCCAGACCTACAACGCCCAGCTGGAGCAGGTGGAGCTGGCGCTGGGGGCGGGCCAGGACCCATCGCAGCACTCGGACCTGATCCAGCTGCAGGAGGATTTGAAGCAGCTCATAGAACTGACCGAGTCGAGCCTGGTGGCTGTGAAAAAGAGCAAACTTCTGGCCACTTTGGACACAGATGCCTCCTCCTCCTCCCCAGCGGGTCTCCCAGGGCAGGATTCCCACCTGGAGAGCTCTGCCCAAGATGAGGAATATGCTGCTTTTAAGGAAGCCATTGCTGGGCTTGGAACAGATGAGGAGCCTCCAGCTGATGGCAGTGAGATCTCCTCAGAGAGAGAGGGAGAAACGGAGGATAAATCCAAATCAAAGTGCAGTGAGGAGGAGGAGGAGTCTGAGAGAGAGGAGGAGGAGGAGGAGTTGAGTGGGATGAAGGTTAAAGCCCCCTACTACAGCTCCTGGGGGACCCTGGAGTACCACAATGCCATGATTGTGGGGACAGAGGAGCTGGAGGATGGCAGTGCAGGGGTCAGGGTGCTCTACCTGTACCCCACCCACAAGTCCCTGAAGCCGTGCCCGTTCTTCCTGGATGACAAGTGCAGATTTAAGGAGAACTGTCGGTAAAGAGAGAGGGGTGGGAGGGTTCAGAGGGACAAACCTCCTCCTCAAGTGCTCTGTGTGGCTTTCTCACCCAGAGAAATTGTGCCTTGGTGTTTTTGAAATGTGCTGTGGTGAGCAGTGGCATCAGTTTGGCTGCTCTCTGTAGCTGATGCACAGGTGAAGTGGAAAATCCTGTGGGAATGATGCAGAGATGTTACATAACTGAGTGGATGCATTAACAACTGATGGAGTATTTAAAAAAAAACACCCAGGTCTGTGGGTAATGCACACATTCCATTTGCACAGGGGGGGTAGATATTTTTGGGGATCTATTTGGGGCTCTCTTTTTGGGGATCTCCACCAGGATCAACCTCAGTGGTCTGTGAAGGTGCTGGGCTGTGAGCCTCACCTCTCTGAAGGTGCTGGGCTGGAGCCCTGCCTGTCTCTGATCCTATTTATCCCCAAAGCCATGAACTTTTCAATTGGATGTGTCACCAGCAAGGAAGTTTAATTCTCTGGGGTGAGATGCATTCTTTGTCCCATGACATAAATAACATGTTTAAGGTGCAACGTGAACAACTTTAGGGAAGTTTGACCCTGTGCTGTTGTAATTATAATTCTGGTGAAGGTTCCTCACCCCTGACACTTGTGTGCATTTCTTTTGAGGAAGGAAGGAAGGGATTTTCATTTGAGAGCTCCTGTTCCTCCTTCCCTGCAGGTTTTCCCATGGTCAGGTGGTGTCCGTGGAGGAGCTCCAGCCCTTCCAGGAGCCCGACCTGAGCAGTCTGGGGGTGGGCTCAGCCTGCCTGGCCAAGCACAGTGATGGCATCTGGTACACGGCCAAAATCACCGGTGAGGGGGGCAGAGGCTTTCCCGGGGCCCAGGGGGGAGGCTGAGGTTTATGTGGATCTAAAACTTGGCTGTTGTGGTTAAAAACATAAACTGTGGCTGCTGCCCTGAACTCAAAATTTTGGCCTAGCTGAGGAAACAGTCTGAGTTTTGTCAGGCTAGAGGAGAGAATTGACTGGGAAGGAGATAAAGAGCAAGAATGTGGAAAGGAAATGACTACGGGGTCATTAATCGCTCCAGGGAAGAGGGAGGGGCTGCAGGAATTTACATGTCTAGTAGGTGAGAATGGCAATAATCTGGTCTTGTTTAAACAAAAACCTGGGGAGCTGGCCCTGCCCAGCAGCTGCTGCTACAGGCTTCCCTCTGTCCTGGAAAGAGGGAGGGTTTATTCCCTCTTTCCACCTTTCTTTTAACTGTTATTAAGTCAGAAGGGAGCAAGTCTAATTTCTCTTTAATTCCATTTCTCAGCAGCCCATCTTTCTTGATTTGTAGAGATAAACTTCTGGGTATCAACACGGGCTTTGTGGAAATAGCTTTTCATTGCAGTGGGTGCTTCCCCCTCCCAGACAGAAATAAAAATCACAGATTAAACCCAGGATTTTTTAGAGCTGTTCCTTGGGCCTCCCCCCTGTCCTGTGCCGTTCTGCTGGAGCTGACTCTGGTTTAGCTCCCTGTGTACTGCAGCTCCTGTCCTTGCTGTTCCCTCTGTAGATGTGGACAGTGGTTACTACACGGTGAAATTTGACTCCCTGCTACTCAAGGAGGCCGTGGTGGAAGGGGACAGTGTCATTCCACCCCTGAGAAGTGAAGATGCTGATGAATCTGGCGAGTCTGATGAGGACAGTGTGGATGATTCTGGTTATGCCAAAGGTAAGGGAGTGGGGGGGAAAGTAAGCAAAAGGGACTTGGGATTTTGTTCTGCTTTTCTCTGGGACTGGCTGACTGCCCTAGAGCTCTCACTCTGTCTCACCTCTGATGAAAGAGCATTTGATCTCTTTATGTGTTCCTGAAAGATTGAGAACAGTAACTGGCGGTTCTGCTACAACTGCAAACTAAAATCTTTGTTTTGTGCAAATCCCTGGGCTAATGAAGGCTGGAGGTTTCCATGGGAACTCCCCACACATGGAAGAAGAGGGTGTGATATTTTAGAGTTCCAGGCTCTGAGCCTCATTTTTACATGTCTGGCTGAGCTGAGTTAATAAAGTGAATCAGAATTTCTCATCCCTGGGAGCTTCATGACCCAGGAATGTGAGACCCAAGGAAATGGGGGTGTTGGGTCCTTCTGGTGCCTCGAGGAGGCTGCAAGAGCAGCCATGCCCTGTTTTACTGCTGAAAGGTGACACAGAGTGACTTCTTGGAAGTTGCACAGGCAGCACTGTCCCTCTGGTGGTGCCACAGCTGCATCACAGGGACAAAGTCATGTCCTAGAGCTCTTTACATTTAACCTGACAGAGGTTATTGGAATCTAATAACACAAAATTAATGGGGTGGCCTGGAGGAGCCTCATACCAGAGACAGGAGCTGGAGGCACAGGATAAGTATTAGGTGCCACTGTGTTAAATTCTACTCAGATGTGTACATTAGTCTGTATTATCATCCTGGAAGGAAGGAAAAGAATCATAAAACTCCTGGGTGATTCTGCCTGGATCTGGGACATGGTATGTGCATTAAATCAAGTGAAACCTCACATTTCAGCCACTCCCTGTGCAGTGTTTGTGGAAGGTGACAATTCAGTAGAACTGAGTAAAGCTGGAGGCATGACCAAATGCTTTTAGGGTTGGAGAAGTGAATTGCACTGTCCTGTGAGGGATGCTGCACACAGCAGCTTTACTCACAATTCCTGTTTCACTGATTCTCCTCTTGTGTTCCACAGTGATAGACTCAGGGGTTCCAGAGAATGGGGAATGGACCCCTGCCTGCAGCTCCTCTTTTGGTGGCTGGGAGGCCCATACTCGTGGCATTGGCTCCAAACTGCTTGTTCAGATGGGATATGAGTTTGGAAAAGGTAAGGGGAGAGGGTGGTCCTGGGGCTGGTAAGAGAAAAAGCCAAGATTTTGGTTGAAACCAGAACTTTGCTGTGCTACAGGCCACTTGGCTGGGGCTCAAGCAATGTGGTAGATCCCAGCAGAGTTGGAGGGAAGAGGGATGAGTTATTTCATGGAAGTACAGGCATGTGGGGCACCAACCCCTGTATGGAAATGGCAAACAGTGGAGGCACCTGGAAGCACGGTCAGGTTGATGATCAAAGCCGTGAGAACCTTGTGGAATGTTCAAAGGCTGGAGGTGGAGGGGAGCTGATCTGCAAAGCTTCTGATGTCTGTGCTAATGCATCTCCTGGCCTGGACACAGACTTCAAAGCCTGCTGAACTCGCTGCTCCCACCCAAATTGCATCAAGCCTTGGGGGCTCTGGGAGGGCCTCTGTGTCTCGGGTCCTCCCAGAGGAACCAAACCAGTTTTAAGTAGAACCTGGCTTGGGTTCTCTCAGAGGAACCAAACCAGTTTTAAGTAGAACCTGGCTTGGGTTCTCCAGAGGAACCAAACCAGTTTTAAGTAGAACCTCGCTTGAGAGGCTGAGGATGTGAGCCTGAACCTGGTTTCACAGAAACCGGCCTGATGGATGGCCTCGGGCTTGGAATCACAAATCTCCTGCTGTAAAAGGCTCCTGGCCTGGCCTTTCCTGATCCCCTTGGCTTGGACAGAAGTTCTAACTTTTGGTACCTCAAAAGCCTCTTAGCTTGTTTTAAGCTTGTGGCTGTCAGTGTGAGCTTGTGGTGGGAGGTGGCTCAGAGGGGGGATGCTGTAATCACTCGGAGTCTCTCCTCAGGCCTAGGGAAGAATGGCGAGGGCAGAGTGGAGCCAGTGCAGGCTGTGGTGCTCCCTCGAGGGAAGTCCCTGGACCAGTGTGCTGAGGTGCTGCAGAAGAAGAAGCAGGGGAAGCTGGAGCCAGGGAAATCGAGGAAATGCCGGGCAAAGGGAAGCAGCTCTGGCCAGCCGGGCGGCCGCAAGGCCCCGCGCAACGTGTTTGACTTCCTGAACGAGAAACTGCGCGGGAAGAGCGCTGGGGACAGGGCTGGGGGGATGGCCCTGCCCCAGAGGAACAGCAAAGAGATCTACCATGCCAGCAAGAGCACCAAGAAGGCCCTGAGTGTCAGCCTCTTCCAGACCACGGAGAAGATTGAGCAAACGCAGAGGGATATCAGGGGAATCCAGCAGGCCCTGGCGCGCAACATCGGGCGGTAGGAAAATGTTCTTTGGGATTGAGTTTGTGGTGCTTCTGGGGAGGGGTGGGCTTGAAATGAGATATGGGAGGAACAAGTGAAATGTGTCTGGATGGGACTTAAGGGGAAGTGGAGGAGAGAGTTCAGTGTGTGCTTCAGACCAGTGTGGACACTGGCAGATGTATCTGGGGTCCTTGGCTGGAATTCGGGCTGTGGCAAAGAGAGGAGCTCTCTGAGGAAAGGTGCTGGAGTCCTTCTCGTGCCCACCCCTGCAGCATTGCTGTTGAGGATCCCAGGAGGACATTCTCTAGCCCAGATTGTGCTGAGCATCAGGTTATTGCTGGCTTTCAGCAGGTCTCTTGGGCTAATCCTACAGGAAAGGGCAAACCCTCCTGGGATGGAGCCCTCCTTTGCTCTTACCATGCAGGATGACATTGTCACTGTGCTTTTTGCTTTCAGGCACAGCATTGCTGCAGCTCAGCTGGAGGAGAAGCTGGCTAATGCCCACAAGCAGCTGGGGCAGCTGCAGGCCCAGGAAGCCAGGCTACAGCGGGAGCAGAAGAAAGCAGACACCCACAAGAAGATGACTGAGTTCTAGGTGCTGAGGAAGGTGTTGGACTGCAGGAGTTGTCCTTCTGGTGCTCCTGGCCTCAGAGTCTCGATGAGCTGTCCTGCTCTGCTGGGCCTCAGGCTGCTCAGCCTAAAACTGGGCAAAAAAGCAGCAGTTTCTGGATGCTTCTGAGCTCTTCTGGGAGGGGGAGTAGTGCACATCCATCCAGCCCCGAAAGCATTCAGTGAGCTGGGCCTTGGATGAGGCCTAGCTACAAGGGATACAATTCTCTGCTCTCTTGCACACTTCTTTCCTTCATTTTCCCTGCAGCAGCAGCAGCTCCATCCAGAGTCTGTGGGTGCTCAGGTGATAACACTGCTGGCTACAAACCAGCTGAGGGGGCTTGGACAGCCCCACATCCTGCCAGTAACTGTGGCTTCTGTCTGTGGCCACCTGCCAAGCACAGGTGCAGGCAGGGTCCCAACCATGGCTGGGTGAAAACATCAAAGGTCAAGTGCTTTAGCTGCTCTCTGCCTTCTGGTTTTTACTATGGGATTTATCTGAGAACTCCAGTTTTGGGGGGAGCAAGTTCTTTATAGCCCTAGTGTAAGGAAGAGACAGAAAACTGACAGCTCAGAGGTGGAACCAGCAGCCTGGAGCATCAGATTTCAGCAGTTTGACTGTTGGAGTATCCCAGGCCATGCTGTAGCCAAGCTCACTGGCTTGGCATGAAAAGCTGCCTGGTTCCACAAGTAGAGTGCCATAGCTGGGGGAATAAGCCAGCAGCATAACAGAATTCCCAAACCTATCCAGGAACACCTCCACAGGGAACCTTGTGATTTTTGCCACCATTAGTTGGGGTTTTTCTGTCCAAGGTGGCTCACTGAGCATGGGTCCTTTTACTAAAAAACCTCAGGACCCAGATCCAGGTTGGACTGGGCCCTGGCTGAGCACAAGGAGCAGGATCTGTGTGAGCCCAGTGTGCAGCCCTGCAGTGGCAGAGCTTGGGGCTGGGCTGGAAGCAGGCCAGGCAATCCAAATGCTCTTCCCTGCCATGTGGAAAGTGTTTGGACAGGAAGGATGTCCTATCCCCTTGGTTACATTCTGTGTTGGTGGTGGCCAGTCCTTGCCTCAGAGATGCTGGCTTCATCATCTGGTGGGATTTCTGCATTGTAAAGGCTTTTTTTTAAACAAAAATAGTTTGCAATTCATGCCAGTATCTTAAGGACACCAATTTTATTTTTAACTTAAGGAACCAATTTCCTTTGATTCTGTGAGTAATTTTTCTAATGAAAAGGTTCCTTTAGTACTCTCTTTTTTATCTATCCCTAAGAACAGATTAAAAAACAAGCTGTCAGCCTGGTCAGGGCAGTGCCTGATTTGCAGGGTCAGGCTGCCAAACAAACAAGAAAATCTGAGACTGAAGAAGATACGATCAGAGCTGTTCAGGTTGTGTGGGATTTCACATTGCTGCAGACACACCTCAGAAACACAGCGAGACAGCAAAACCAAACATGATGAAGGTCTTCAGGAAACTTGTGGGAGTGAGTCTGTGCTCCTGAAGAGCACCTGGATCATGCTGTGATCCTGGTGGATGTGGGATGTGTCATGGGCTGCCTCAGGCACTTCAACATCCACCAGTTCCTATTGGAATTGGCTGTACTGTCCTCATTGTTCTGAATTCGTGTTCTTCACACACCAGGCTCAACTCAAGGGTTTAACAATGGCCCTTCCTCACAAATGACTGTTTGTTTCTCACACTTGAGTGCTAAGTGGTGACAAGGATTAATGTGCCCAGCTTAGCATGGATGCTCACTGAAGTGGCCCATGACTGGAGAGCTGAGCTGGGCAGAGAAAACTGGGGGGTTTATTTTGTGCTCTGAGACTGTTTAACATCATCATCATCTCTTTAGGAACTGGGTATATGAGCCCTGTGGTCTTTGCTCAGTCCTGTTTTGACCCTTCCATGGGATCTCTACAGCCTGACTTGTCAGACTCCCATTCCATTGGCTGCCACCTCCCACCCACCCAGCGCAGTTCACATCCCTGATGAATAAAGTTGGTGTTTCTTTTTTCCTCCTCTCTCCTTGTAAGGCGTTGTTCATTTGCAAGGTAATGATGATCTGGGGCTCCCCATTCTTTCCTTACATTGCCCTGAGCTCCGGGAGGAGCCGGGCGGGGAGCGGGCGCGGCAGAGGCTGCTCGGGTGTGCTGAGCTTCCCGCCCCGGCTGCGAGCACAGACCCAGCCTACCCCGGGGTGCAGCCACCACCTCCGGGGCCAGGAAGCTGTGGTGGGTGTGCTCTGTGTGTGCTCGCAGCCGGCTGCTCCTCAGGGAGCAGGAGAGCTCAGACTGGGATGTTGGAAATGTGCGGGAAGCCCTGACTGGGACTTGCTGTGGGGTAAGAAATGAAATTCTCCAGGCTGGCCGGCGGGGAAGAGAGAACGATTGGATCCCTGCACTCCACACTCACCAGATTTTGAGCTCCTGCAAGTAAGTGGTGGTGACTTTCCTGCCTGGGAAATGAGGAATCTGCAGCTAAACTGGGGGGCAAATACCTTAAAACCCCCAAAGTATACAGCATTGTCAGAGATGCTCTTGGGGCTGGACAGACTGGACAGGTAGGATTCCTGCTCTGCCCTGCTCTGCTCTGGGAAGCCTCAGCTGGGCTCAGCTTTGTGAGTTGGGCTCCAAGCTGTGTCATTTCATGCTTTGTGCTCTGTAGCTGGGCTTGAGAGGGAAGAAAAGGTGATGGAGCTTGGCAATGCTGCTGGGATCCCATGGCTGGAGTCTGGAGGCTGAGTGGGAGCCAATTGCTTTTGGGTGAATGAATTCAATTCAGAGGTGCATGGCATTGTGGAAATTTCCAGTTGTTTTGTGGGGAGGGGGACAGGAGTGTTGCTGGTGTGTGCAATGAGAAACACTGTCTTCTGAAAACCTAAGATGATGTAGAAGTAGCGCATGTGTGGCAAAGGAAACCACTGTGGCAGGCAGATGGTTCTGGAGAAGACACATCTCCTTCATCCAGCCATGCTGCAGTTTGGAATCTGCCTTCCCAAAACAGCAGCTCCGAGCTCTCTGCTGGTCTCCTGCTGTGGCTCAGCTCTGCAGAAAACCTCTTGAGATTATTCTTGCCTTAAAAGAGCATTTTTTTGCCCAAGTGAGTGTTCAGCAACCAGGAAAGGGCAGGAAGAAAGAAAAGTGCTGAAATGGGGTCAGCCTCGAGCAGAGCCCTGTGGTGTGGGCTGATAGTCACTCAAGTTTTAAAGTTGTATTTTCTCAAAAGCCACTCCAGCATGTGAGCAGCGATCAGAACTGCAGCTAGAAGTCTGCATCCAAGTTTTCAGGCATTTGGGTCTGGCATTTAGAATTATGGTTGGCACATTCTAAATGAAAAGCCCCCAGAGGTTATTTGACCATGAAATCTCATTACGGAGATAAGCAAAGTGGGTAAGATCTCATGCCTGCTTTTTTGAAATAGTCCTAAAATTCACTAATTGCACCCCATGGTCCAGGGCAGATTCAGTGTTGTGACTGACTGTAAACAGAGCTTTCACTTTTTGTAATTGAAAAGAAAGAAATCTATCTACTTCTGCTTCTTGGGCCTTTTTTGAAGCACAACTCCCTGGGGTACCTGAGCAGAGTTTGCTGCAGCTGTGTGCACAGTTGTTGATGGAAATCAGCTCAAAATGTTCCTCTTGGTTTTCTGCAAATAGGCTTTGAGTAGCTTTGCAGACTTTTTTCTTGCCACCCTGCACTGAAGACTGTGTGGTTTTATCTGGGGAGATGAATCAGAGGCCAGGGAGAATCATCACCAGCAGCACTTGGTTTTGCAGTGAATTTAATCTTGCTTTCAGGAAGCCCAGATGAGAAACTTGCACCTTTCATAGGACTCACAAAAAACTCCCACATCCTGGAGTAACAACCCATCTGCCTCGAGGGTGCCTGTGCTGGGGTGTCACACACAGAGGGGAGAGATCCCTGCTCCGAGGACTGTGGGTGCTGTCACACGTACGCAACGGCCGTGACCGCCCTCGCCTTCAAAGCCACCGGGGCTGGGCTGGGCTGGGCTGGGCTGGCAGAGCCGGCGCCTTTGAAACGCCTCTGCTGAGCCCCGGGGAACGGCCCCAGGGCAGGGAGATCGATAACTTCATCGGCACGAAATCCAGGTGCAGGTTGCAGAAGGTCTGGCTGAGAGTTTGCCTTGCAAACCTGCTCAGTCCTACCTGGGTGTCTTTAGTCAGGGGTTCTGCTCGCAAATCTGTGGCTCTGGGAGACCCAAGGTGTTGTCCCAAGAAGTGGCTTCTCCCAGTGGCTGCTGAGCCTGAGCGCTGAGCAGGATGCACAGCACAGTTTCACTGCTCAGAAATCCTGGAGCAGCCACCGACCTGCTCTACAGAAAACAGGCCAGAAGAATTTCTCTGCGTTCATTCCTACTCAAGGAAGTCTCTCCTTTCAATCTTCAAAATTCAGGGATGGAAAATCCCCCTGCTGTGGGATAAGCTGCCCTGTGTGTGTGCCTGCCTCAGCATGCTGAAAGCTCCCACCTCGATTCCAACACTACACCAGCTCCTGGCCATCAAACCTCACTAGAACTTTGTCTGCTCAACTCCAGAGCCTGCTCAGCTCTGCCCTGCTCCTGCAGCCCATGATTCCATGCCTCTAATGAGCTGAACGAGCCCAGCGAGGAGCTCCAGGCTCTGTCTAACGCACCGGCCCTGTTGCAGGTAATCCCAATAATTAAAGTATGCTCAGACAGAAAAGCTGTGTTGTCTAATTAAAACCTTGGAAAGGGAACAGCTTCCCCTTCCCATCTCTGATCTAAGCCAGTCTGTCCAGCCTGGTTAGTCCTTAAAACCTCTCTGTCTCACTTTCTGCCTTGAAATAATTGCTCTCCAGGGTTCATGCTTCAGTCAGGGCAGTTTCCAAAGGCATGGGAAGTTCTTAGATAAAAGGATGCTCACAGATAAAAGGGTGCTGCAAATGGGCAGAGACCTTCTGGTTATTGGGGTAAAAATGTGCCAGAGATGCTGTGTGACCCAAGGTGCAGGGGAGAGGGGAGCTCCTGTGGGCCTGCAATAGCTTTTGAGATTTACACAAGGCAGGGTGGCTTCTCACCAGAGCTCATCTGGGCTTTGTCATCCGGATGAAGATATGCAAGAGGGTGAGTAAGAGGTGCTCAGCACGTCCCTCAGGATCTCTGGGCTCCCATCCGTGCTGGTGGAAGCTGATCCTGCTCAGCTCTGCCCAGGGACCCCACTGCTGGCCCCATCTGGATCAGCTACCACGGCTTCTTGAAGCTGTGTTTTACTCCAGGAACTGCCTCCATCTCCTTTCAGATCAGGCATTCCTTGGGTGCTGGTGACAGGCCAGCCTTTTTCTGTAGAGCAGGGTGCACAGAGCTGAGCTGTGCAGAGCTGGGAGCCGCAGCCACCGCTGAAGGGGTGCCAGCTTTTGCTTTGGGTTTGCAGCGTGCTGGCAGCACAGCAGGGATGGGGATGGCGGCATGGGAATGATGGGACAGAGGTCACCAAAAGCCTCCTGGGGAAGGAGGTGATCCTGACAGGCTGGGGAGCACCCGTGCTTTGTGTCAGGACACTCTCCTGCCCCTGCCACGGTTTGCAGGGGATGATTCTTGCCCTGAGGAAAGCACAGGGACAAGGGCTGGGTTTGGGCAAGGCACAGCTTTAGGCAGAGGAAAGGGGTGGGAAGATGGGGAGTTTTCTGCTCTGGTGTCACAGCAGAGAGTGACTGCAGACCTGGGGTTGTGGTGGCACAGGGAATGTGTGCATCCATTGCAGAAGGAGGGTGTCCTGGTGTGTTCTGCTGAGGCCAGCGCATGAGGAGGCAGAGGAAGGAGATGCTGAAGGTCCCCTTGTTTCCAGGAAGTTGAGTCATACTGCCTGTTCTTTCTGGTCTCCCCCTTGCTCAGGATCGGTGTCACCCCCATCCCACAGCCTGGGTTGGTGTCCCAGGGTCCCCAGAAAGCACTCTGTCATTCCTAGGGTGCCTCCAGAGGGTTTTCAGGGCTCCTGGGCATTTCCTTTTCATCATTTCAGTGGCAAATTGTGAGCTTGAATCCCACTGGTTTTGTTGGATTGCTTTTTCTTCAAAAGGAACCAAAATCTGAAGTTTTCCCTGGTGGTGACAGAGCACCCACTGCCAAGTGTCCACACGGGGCTGGGCACTGGAGGTGTTACAGTGACCCTGGGGACAGCAATTGCTGGCCAGAAAATGGGACACCTGGTGAAATGTCCCCATCCAGAGAGACCCCCGGCTGCAGGGGTCCCCTAAGCCCTGGGGGTCACCATTTCATGCCATGGTGAGCCCAGCAGCTCCAGGCTGAACTCCAGCTCGTGTTCTCTCTCCTCAGAGCTCAGTGGTGCTGCCAGCAGCTCCTCCATGGCTGCAGCCAGCGGCGAGGGGACAGCAGGGACCCAGCTGCTGCCAGCTGGCACTGCCCTGGCCCTGCTCGGTGGCCTGGTCTACCTGGGCACCCTGTGTGCTGCCTGCAAACGGTACGTGCTGCCCACAGCTCCTCCCTTTCCCTCCTGGGGCTGGGTGGGGCTGGGGACCCCTCGGTGGCATTTGGTGGCTGCCCGTGGGGACTCTGTGTGCAGCCATCCTGAGCTGGCACCACGGGGCTGCTGCTCTGCTCACCCCAAACGCCACCTGCGCCCCAGTGCAGCTCCACCTGGCTTGATCCTGCATCCCTGTGTGTCACAGCCCCCTGGAACAGCCTCTACACCCAAAAAACCTCAGAGGAGCAGCCCAGAGAGGGCTGAGCTGAGAGCAGGAGGGGCAATGCCAAGGGTGGTGCCAGTGGTGCCCTGCACAGCTCAGTGGGGTGCAGGATGCAATTGTGGTGTCCCCAGCCAGCACAGAGCCTGCTGTGGGGCAGGGGAAGGATGTGGGGTCTGGGAGTGCCACACTGGGACACCTGCTCCTCATCCTGGCTTTGCCATCTGCCTTGGGCTCAGCCCCACTTCTCCCTGCAGGAGGGGCAGGAAGAAGGTGGCTCCGGACGGGGTGAAGCTCGTGGATGAGGTAAGAGCACATCTTGGGGGCAGGATCAGCCCTGGGGGTGCTCTGGGCTCCCAGCCCAGCCTGAGGGTGTCTGTCCCCCCCCGGGCAGGCCCTGCTCTGCCAGACACAGCTGCGGTCACTCAGCAAGTCAGACACGAAGCTGCACGAGCTGTACCGGGTGAAGGTCAGAGATGGTGAGTGCCCTGGAGCAGGGGGAGCCCGAGGGGCTGGTGGCCCTTGGCAGCTGCCTGCAGTCCCCAAGCTGCTCATCATGTCACAGAGAGACATGTCACAGTGCTGGCACAGGGCTTGGTGCCTGTTGCATGCCCTCATTTCCTCTTCTCTCCCACAGTCCAGCGTCCAGCCAGCCTGGATCTCCCAGGTCCCAGGGCCTCTGGGGGTGAATCCCTGCACAGCTCTGGCCTCCTGCACCGTGAGCTGCCCCAGATCCCCGTCCCTGAGCCCCCGGCCACCTCCCCAGCCCCCGACCAGACCTACTCCAACCTGCTCTTCACCCCGCTGCGCAAACCAGCGCCAGACGCTGTCTATGAGTGCCTGGCAGTGGGGGAGGAGGGCACCCCGGCGCCCCCCATGCCAGCTGGCACCCAGCCGCCCCCTCCACGGGCTGTGCACGGGGCAGCTGATTACGCCTGTGTCCATAAAGTGAGGAAGGTGGTGCCGGTGGAGGTGCAGGATGGGGCTGTGGCAGGACCCTCTGGAGCACAGCACGGCTGGGATGGCACAGGCAGTGCCCCTCATGCCAAGGTACAGCTCTGGGGGACAGCAGGGATGGGGCACATGGGGGGTGGGGGTCATTCAATTCCCTCTCTCCTGGCTGTGCCCATGTGTGGAGCAGGGTATAAGTTAGGATCCACTGCCAGGATCCTCCTGGGGGGGCTGTCAGAAGATGAGGGGGGACAAAATCATGAGGGTACCCTGCAGTGGGCAGGGATTGCCCTCAAACCTCCACCCAAAAAAAAAAAAATTCTTTTTGCAGCTGGAGGAGATGTACTCGACAGTGTGCAAAGCCACCAAGAAGAAATCCCAGGTCCCTGCATCAACCCCGAGGGCTGTGAAGGAGGGGGAGTCTGGGTGGCTGCCCCCCTGCCAGCAGGAGGGGGCCCCAGCAGCCCCAGGTGCCCCTGACCCCTGTTATGAATCCATCAATGACAGAGCATGGACTGCTCAGGCCCGTGGCCCCGAGCCTGACTATGAGGCTGTGGACATGAACTGGAAGAAGGCAGCGAAACGGGACAAGCCAGGGAAGCCCTGTGTCCCTGAGAACCTCTATGAGAGTGTGGTGGATGTCTGGGCAGGGGGGTCCCAGAAAGGCTCTGCCCGGACAGCGGCCAATGGGCTGCAGGTTTACATCACCAACCTATAGCCCCCAGGAGCAGGGGCAGTGCCACAGGGGGACCCACCAGGCTGGACACCACTGGGTGCCAAAGGGACAGGTGCCAGCAGCCCTGTGCCCACCTGTGCCCTGCACTCACTCTCTGTATATATTTTCTGTTACTTTTCTACCAGTGTTGTTGTCCCATCTCAGCCCAGCTGGTGATGGTGGGATGTCCAAGGATGGGCAGTTTGGGGGTGCTGGGTGGGACCCAGTGAGTCAGGGCTGGCACTGGCACCAGGATGGGAACAGGGTGGGGACCAGTCACGTTTTGGGGCAGGGGGGTGACGGGGCTGCAGCCAGCCCCATGCCTTGGGCTGCAGGATCAGACCCCATCAAGAGGTTTCTGCCATGCCTGAGGTCTCTGTGCTCCTCACACTGCCTGGGGGAGACCAGGGCCCCCTCCAGCCCCCAGGAAGCCCTGAGAAGCTTTGCCCCCCTCACACACAGAACGTCCCTTGTTATGGGGAGATGGGGTCAGCCCTGTGCCTTCATGGAATCACAGAATATCCTGAGTTGGAAAGGACCCAGAAGGGATCATTGAGTCCATCTCCTCACCCTGCACAGGATTACACAGAAATTTCCCTGGTGTGGGCTGTGGGCTCTGCTCCATCCTCCATTCCCACCCTTTCAGACCCATGCAAGGGTGTCTCCTTGGGTCACCATTAAAAGCCTGAGAGAAGGTTTACACTCTAGAACTGAGTCTAAATCTCTGGTTCTGGGCTCTCTTGCTGCTGCTGCTGGTGCAACTGGTGCTGAGAGAGCAGCTTTGAGCACGATGTGACAGTGAGTGCACCCGCCCTAGATGGGTGGTTTGGCACCTCTGAAATGGGGACACACAGCCACCAAGAGCTGCTGTATGGGGTGATCTGTGCCAGAGCAGAGCCTCGCACAGGGCTGCGGCACAAACCAGGATGTGTTTGCTCAGCATTTGCTTCCTTGCTCACCTCCCCATCACTGCTGTGGCTCCTGCAGCCTCCGTGTGCCAAAAAAGCCTGGCTGAGCTGGATGTGTACCAGAGCTTAACCTTCCCTCCTCTCCTCCCCGGTGCAGTTGCACATCCGTGCCCCAAGGGACACCGCGGTGGCAGTGACGGTGTCCCTGTCACATGGCCAGCGGCTGCCTGACCTCGTGGCACGATGGCCTGGTGTGGCTGGAGCGGGGCGGAGCCCCAGCCCCCGTGCCGTGCCGTGCCGTGCCGTGCCGTGCCGTGCCGTGCCAGGCTGTGCGGCAGGAAGCGCCGCGCCTCCCCTCAGCATCTGTGCCCCTGCACCGCGGCAGGTGAAGAGATTAAAACCGAAAACGCAGCGCTCAGCAAACCCCGCTGGAGGTGTCAGAGCTGGAGGCACCCCAGCTCGTCGTCAGCCCTGCTCTCGACGCCAAACCACAGCCGCCCTCGAGAGCTTCTCCCATCCCCCTGCGAGATGAGGGCGCTGATAGAGCGCGGCTGGTGCCGCTGCTGCCGCGCTCTTCCTGCTGCCAGGCTGCCTCAAGCACGCGTGGGCTCCCCCACGCTGTCCCGGCCGCATCCTGCCCCTGCTCCCCTTCCCCACCATCGCAGCACACGCGGCTGGGTCCCTCCTGCACCTCCTGAGTCCCTGGGAGCTGTTTTGGGCTGTGCTGCCAGGCACAGGAGCATCATTTCCGTGCGGGATCAGTGGGGCTTCACTCCGGTCCCCGCGCTGCCCGTGGGGGTGTGGGGACCACGGTGCCACCTCCCTTGGGAAAGGCAGGCTCGGAATGGCACCAGGGAAGGGACAGATCCTGCTGCGGAGGGGCTGAGGCGGCCAAATTTGGTCTCCAATTTCCCCCAGCAGCAGCAGAAGGTGTGCGAGAGAGTGAGCGGGTGTGCAAGAGTGTGAGTGATGTGCGCGGGTGTGAGTGAGTGTGAGTGAGTGTGCGCGGGTGTGCTGAGCGATGCCGTTCCCACAACAGGGAGCGAGCAGGAGCCCAGAGAGCGCCCTAAGAGGCTGAACGGGGCTGCAGGTCCTTAATCCTGCACGCTGTGGGATGTAGCGAGGAGCATCACACACTGCACGGTGTGACACCCGCACTGTGTGACACCCGCACGCTGTGACACCTGCATTGTGTGACACCCGCACTGTGTGACACCCTTGCAGTGGGACACCTGCACTGTGTGACACCTGCACTGACACCTGCACTGTGTGACACCCGCATGGTGTGACACCTGCCCTGTGTGACACCTGCACAGTGTGACACCCACATGGTGTGACACCCGCACAGTGTGACACCCGCACCGTGTGACACCCGCACAGTGTGACACCCACATTGTGTGACACCCGCACTGTGTGACACGTGCACTGTGTGACACCTGCACTGACACCCGCACTGTGTGACACCCTTGCAGTGGGACACCTGCCCTGTGTGACACCTGCACTGACACCTGCACTGTGTGACACCCGCACTGTGTGACACCCGCACCGTGTGACACCCGCACCGTGTGACGCCTGCACGGCACTGCAGGGCGCTCTGTGCCATAAGGACCCACATCCCCATGTCCTTGCACCCCGCAGGCCTCCGCAGCCCGCGCAGTTCTGTGTCTGTCCGGCAGCCCAGGGCTCTCCACCAAACCCTCCCCACGGCCGAGCAGCTCCGCACTCCGCCTAGCCCCCCCCATCCCTGCAGCTCACCCCCGTGTGGCCCCGTCCCCCGGCAGCCCCGCAGCCCCAGCGGGCAGTCAGGGGGACACGGGCAGGGCAGGCACGGCCGCGATCCCTCTGCACGACCCCCTGTGCGAGGGGCATCGGTGCAGTCTGCAGCCAAACCCCGGCAAGGGCACCCGGGTACCACGGGGGCATCTCCCAGGGATGGTGATTCCTGGGGGAGTCCTGTGCAGGGCCAGCAGTTGGACTGAATGATCCTTGCACGGCCTTTCCAACTCAGGAGGTGCCATGACCACGTTTTAAATTTGGGATGCCCCCGTGCCGAGCCCCCCTGCCCGGGCCGGGGGTGGGGCTGGTGGCACCCTGTGCGAGGGTGGGCGATGCTCGTGGAGTTGCACAACACCGAGCGGAGCTGCCGGAGCCTCCAGCTCTGCGCTTCGGCCGCCGTTAACCATTAAACCAGAGCGGGGGCGGCCGCGGAACCTCCCCCGGGCCCCACCGGCTCCTGCGGGGCTGCGCTAGCGGGGGCTGTGGGATCGGACTCCCCAGGGACGGGGCAGATGGGGAATAAAGGCTGCTGCGGCTGTGCTCCCCCTCCCGTGCTGGTTTTGGGGCCGCGGGGGTGTCCCGGTTCCCGGTTAATCCCCCGTTCCCGTGGCAGGGACAGCCCGCGGGCGGCCCTGCCGGGGAGGCACCGGGCGCTTGGCCGGGTTCGGGGCGGGGTTTTCCCGGTTTGTTGCTTTTTTCACTCCTAGGAAAACACTCGGGGTTGGCGCCTCCAGCCCCACCTCCAGCAGAGCGGGGAACGGGGGGTGGCCGAGCGCCCCAGGATCCAGGCTGGGAACGTCCCCTCCCCAGGCAGGGGATCCCGGGTGCCACCCCAGCAACCCCGCAGCCCCCGAGCCGCGGGAATCGGCCGTGCCAGGCGGCCCGGGGCTGCTGGGGGACAGGCGGGGGGGGACAGGCGGGGGCCGCCATCCGGGACAGCCGCACGGACTCTGTCCCGGCCTTCAGGGCTGCTCGGTCCAGCAGGGGCAGGACCCGGCGGCGCCTCGGAGCCGCCCCGCGAGTTTTGGGGCAGGTGAGGGGCAGAACGCGGGTGGGCACCAGCCGAGCCCCCCAAACACCCGTGCACCCCAAAACCCCCCGCACCCCATGTGTCACATGGATCCCACAGACCCCCTGCCCTACAGGTCCCCCCTGCCAGCCCAGGCACCCAGGGCGCCCCAGAACCCCTGCAGCCCACGGACCCCAAGCTTTCCGTGCACCCAGGGCATTCCATGCATCCCACATGCCCAGGGCAGCCCACGCTCCCCATGGAGCCCACGCACCCCAAGTGTACCCCCACGCCTCTCAGCACCCCAAGAACCTCCTGCACCCCTCGCAGCCCACTCACACCCAGCCCCGCCATTCTGGGGGGGGGTTGGCAGTGATTTCTCGTGGTGGGCAGGACTGACGGTGGAATTAGGGACTTCTTTCCTACTTCTTTCCTACTGGGAACGGCGCACACACCCCAAAAGTCCAGACCACACCCCCTTTCTAGCAGAAGGTGACTATAACTTTTGGGGAAGCCCTAGAGCTGGTGGGGGAGCCCTACAGGCGAGTTATAGGGGATTTAAAACTTCGGAGAGAACTTTGGGGGAAACCTACAAATTTTGGGGAGTATAACTTTGTGAGGAGCTCTGCAACGTTTGAAGAACCCCTGTAACTTATCGGCAGCCCTATAATTTGGCGGGGGTCATCACTTTGGAGCGAATCCCCCAAATTTTAACGCTGCGTGTTTCACCCGGGTAAGTCCGCAGGAGCCGTTGGGAGTTTTGCGGGATGCTCCGCGGTGACGGCATCAGCGCGTTTATTTGGGCAGCACCCAGAATCCCGAGCCGTAACAACAAAATCGCAACTTTCGGGGGTCCTCCGCGACTTTTGGGGAGCCCCGCGAGTTTGGCGGGAAAAGGCGGGGGTGACTTGAGGGCGGCCCCGGGGGTGCCGGCGTGGACTCATTGGTGAGCAGGAGTGACCCGGACGGCCTGGCGGAGGTGGGGTGGGGTTGTTTTGGGGGGGGGGGGGTGTTTTGTTTTTTGGGGGGGTCCCTCGGGCAGCGCGCGCGGCAGGAGGGCGGGGCGCGCGAAGATGGCCGCTGCCGGCGGGGGCGTGGCGCGGCCGGCCAGGGGGGCGTGGCCGGCTCGCGAGGGCGGGGGCGTGGCCGCCGCGAGCGAAGTGGCAGCGGGCCTCGGCCAATCAGCGGCGCTGAGAGCGGCGGCCGCGTTCCAGCCCGCGCGCTCCGGCCAATGGCGCGGCGCTCGGGGGGCGTGGCCCGGCCGGCGCCGACACCGGGGCCGCGCGCGGCGGAGCGCGCTCCCCCCGCCGGGCCGCGGCCGCTCCGCGCATGGACCCCCCGCGCCCGCCCGCGGTCCTAATGCCCGCCCGCCGCCGCCGCCGCCCGCCGCCGCCGACCGCGCCGCCCGCCGCCCGCGCCGACCCCGCCAAGGTACCGGGGGGGGCGGCGGCGGAGACCGGGGTGGGATCCGGGGGAGGCGGCGGGGGGGCGGTGACAGCTGACAGCGGCCCGCCCGAAACTTTCCCCGCCGGTAAAATGGCGCCGCGATGGGATAAACTTTGGGGGGCGGGAAGTGGGGGGGTTGTGGCGGCGGGGCGCGGAGGGGGGGGGGGTGGTGGGTCACAGCAGCCGCGCCCCCGGCGGGATCGTCTCGCCTGGATCGCAGCGCTTTGGGATCTTCCCGGGATCTCCCGCCGCGGGGACCCGCCCGGCCCCGCCCCAGGGAGAGCGGCCGGGATCCGCTTGGAGCGGGATCCGCTTGGTGCTGGATCCCGTGGGATCTCCCCGGAGCGGGATCCGCTCGGTGCCGGAGCCCGGGCAGCGGGTGCCGGTGTCGGGCTGGCCTGGCGGGCACGAGTGCGCTCCCAGCGCTGGGATAGCCGCTGGATCCCGGGTGATCCGCTCAGAGCGGGAAAAACTTGGGGTGTGGATCCACAAGGTGCGGATCTACACCGGCATGTGGGATGTAGGTGCTGCCACCTTAGAGCTGCGTTGCCAGGAGGGTGTCAGGTCCTGGCCCTGTGGAGATCCCTGCTGAATCCCTGCTGATGCTCAGCCAGTGGGTGATGGTGCTGGCAGCGGCATCACAGGGGCATCAGGAGAGTGCTCAGGAACTCCTGGCTGGATCCCACTGCGACCTGGCGGGATCCACTTGGGATTTACCCCAGGGGGAGTGGCTGGCAGGGTCCCACCACAGCCCTGCCCGGAGGCGCTGATCCAGCTCCCCAAACCCAGCTCCCCAAAACCCAGCTCCCCATCCCACCGAGGCCGTGGGCATCCCTGCGGACCCCAGTGCTCGGGGGGATCCCTGCTGCCCGCTGCCGTGTCTCCCGCAGGCTCCGCTGGGACCCGAGGGCTGGCTGGGGGAGCCGCCGTCGCGCCAGGAGGAGGAGGCCGTGCTGCGGGCGCTGGACGCGGGGCTGGAGCGCTGCCTGGCGCTGCACTCGGCCGTGCAGTGCATCCCCGTGCCCCGGCACAGGTAGGGACACCGTGCAGTGCATCCCCGTGCCCCGGCACAGGCAGGGACACCGGCACGGCCGACACCCGCCCGCCGGCGCCGGGATTCTTTCTGCAGGAGGACTTTGGCCGCTGTTGGCCATGCCAGGATCCCCGTGGTGAGAGGCTGTCCCGCTGTGGCAGCTCCGGGGACTCCCAGCTGGGAGCATCACCAGATTATCTGTTTGCAAAATGCTTTTGGGTGCTCTTGACCTCTTGTTTTTTTTTTAATCTAATTTTTTTTATAGTTTTTTCCCACCTCAAGGAGCTGTTTGGCCTTAGGCAAGCCATCCCTGTGTCTCTGGGCAGGATGCAGCTGCCAGTACCCTCTGGCACAGTGCTGCCCACAGTCATGGAGGGTTGCCCCTGCATGCCACAGGCAGTGGCATTTTGGCAGCTTGCCTGCACTGCTGCCTGTGCCATGCCTGGGGGAGTTCCAGCCAGCTGCTGGATGATCCCTGGAGGGATCAGCAGCATCTTGGGATGCTGCAGGGTGTGGGGCACCTGTGGGTGCCTTTCCACCTGGTGATGCCACCAACACGGTGGGGCCACTGAGACCTTGTGCCACCCCTGTACCCCCACACAAACCACCCTGGGGTGGGTGCAGGCCACTGTGGGTGGCAGGTCCTGGCACCTCAGTGAGGGAGGGAAAGTAACAGAGGGTCCCAGGGGGCCAGTCCATCCTGACACAGCCCCCTGTGCTCTTGTTGGCAGGAAGCTCTCGGGCAAGGCAGGCATTGATGAGGTGATGGCAGCTGCGGTGCTCACCAGCCTCTCCGCCAGCCCCTTGGTGCTCGGGCACCCACCAGCCACTCATGCCACAGGTAAGAGCATGTCCCTGTCCCCCCATCCCTGGACGTGTGTCCCACAGCAGGACCTGACCTTCCTCTTCCTCCTCCTCACCAGAGCCTGGCAGTGAGGTCTGGAAGGAGGCTCCTGCCATGTCCTCCAGCTGCAGCAGCAGCAGCAACACCAGCGGGGACTGGAGCTGGGACCCCTCCAGCGACCGATCCACCCCCTCCACCCCCTCACCCCCCCTCTCCAGCCACGTCCCCAGCACCTTCCTGCCTGGCCCACTCCCAGATGAGGGCCCTGATGAGCCCGATGGCACCCACTTCGTCTTTGGAGAGCCCACCCCACGGAAGAGGAAGGTGGGATGAAGCTGGGGATGATGATGGGGGTGAAGCTGGGTTTTGGGAATGGTAGGATGGAGATGAAGAAGAGGATGAGGTTAAGGATGGGCATGACAGTTGGGATGAGTTTGGGAATGGGGAGAGTGAGGATGGAGATGGGAATGAGGATGACATTTGGGGTGGGAATGAAGAGGATGAGGTTGGAGATAGGGATGAGAGCTGTGATGAGTTTGGGGATGTGGGTGATGATGGGGGTAAGGTTGGGGATGAAAATGAGGATGGTATTTGTGCTGGGATGACAGTGGGGCTGGAGATGAGGCTGGGCATGAGGATGAGGATGAGGATGGGGTTAGGGCTGCCAGCCTGACATCTCTCTCCTGCAGAACTCCACCAAGGTGATGTTCAAGTGCTTGTGGAAGAGCTGCGGCAAAGTCCTCAGCAGCTCCTCAGGGATGCAGAAGCACATCCGAACCATGCACCTTGGGTAAGCACATGGGGTACCCCTGGTCACCCCCAAACCCTCTGGTACCCCCTGCAGGGTGCTGCAGTGCTGGGGGACAGTGTCCCAGCCAGCCTCTGCTCTCCCCGCAGCCGGAAAGCCGACCTGGAGCAGAGCGATGGCGAGGAGGATTTCTACTACACGGAGCTGGACGTGGACGTGGAGGCGCTGACTGACGGGCTCTCCAGCCTCACCCCGGTGTCTCCCACCTCCTCGGTGCCTCCCGCCTTCCCCGGCCCCGAGGCTCCTCTGCCGCCGGCCCTGCCCATCCTCGAGCTGGCCCTGGCCTCCCCCTGCAGCCCCCCGGGGCCCCCCGGCCGCTGCCACGTCCACACCGACCACGCGTACCAGGTGGGGGGACAGGGATGGAGGGGGACAGGGATGGGGCACAGGGATGGAGGTAGGGACAGCAATGAAGTGAGCACAGGGATGGAGGTAGGGAGGGGATGGAGGCGGGCCTGCTGCACTCCCTCATCACCTTGTCTGATGAGGGTTGTGTCCTCTCTCTCCAGGGCTGCCGGACCCCCCCGCGGCCACCCGTGTCCCCCACTGTCCCCACCCCGCCACCACCCAAGCCACCGGCCGTGCCCAGGTGAGCCATTGCTGTCGTGCCCTATGCCGTCCCCTCTCCCCCGCGTGTGTCCCCGGTTGTGACTTGTCCCTGTGCCCGCAGGAGGCCGCGGGGCGAGGCCAAGAAGTGCCGCAAGGTGTACGGCATGGAGCACCGGGAGATGTGGTGCACGGCGTGCCGCTGGAAGAAGGCGTGCCAGCGCTTCCTCGACTGACGGAGCCCCGCCGCTCCCTCCTTCTTGCACATTTTGCACTCGAGGTGCCTTCGCGCCCCCCCGGCCGCCCCCCGGACTCAGGGAACGGCCCCCCGAAAGCTTTATGCACACACACAGCCCCCCCTGCCACGGAGCTTGTCCCCCCTGCCTTGTTTTCCCTTTGAAAATAAGCTAAATCCATTGATCCGACCCCGCTCCTTGCCGGGGGGAGGCTGGCAGGGGGTGTCTGGCTGCTCCCGGCCCCCTCCCCACTCTGGTTTGGGGACCCCCCCACGGCTGAATAAGCTGTGCCTGTGGCCGGTTTTGGGGGTTTGGAAAAGGGGGTGTCTGTTCCTGCCCCCCGCCTGCTCCCGGGGGGCAGCCCCAGTGCCCAGGGCAGAGGTGGGCGCCTGCCCCCCCAGGGGGGTTTTTACTCTTTGTAATGTCATTTCTCTCTCTCGTTTTGGGGAGCCCCTGCCAGGGCCATGCCCCGGGAAGTGCCTGCAGGAATGCGCCCATTTGCACTAAGCCAAACTGCACAAAGAGGGGTCTTTTTGTTTTCCTTTACTTTTTTTTTTTTTTTTTCCTTCGTGTGGTTTTTATTTTTTAAATAAAATATATGAAAATTCGTATTTTTACCTACTCCCTCCCACAGCACGAGAGCGCGCGGGCCGCGGGGTGCCTCCAGCCCTGGGCGGGTTTCAAGGGGTTTAATTCACTTTAAACCCCCTTTTTACCCCCAAAAAACCCCATTTTCCCCTCAAAACCCTTTCTCCCCTCTGCTCCTGTCATTCTCCAGCCCAGGCAGCAGCTCGGTTTGGCCAGGCCATGCCCCCCTGCTCCTCTCCCCATGCAGGGAGGGGACAGGGGGGTGGTGGCCCTGCCACCCTCCTGCCCTGTGGGAAGGTTCCCTTTGCATCAGGGACCCCCCACTGCAGGGTCCCCCCTTGCAGGGTTGGACACTGCTTGGGCCCCATGGGTCAGGCTGGTGCTGTGCCCCCACTTGTCCCCTCCAGGGATGTGATGTATCAGATCCAAAAGAAAAAAAAAATAAATACTTGGATTTTTTTTTTAATGATTCCTGTTCTTTAGTTACTGTTAAGACAGGCAGGTGGGCACCCCGGGCCCCTTGGCACCCCCAGACCCACTGCTGTCACCCCCCTCCTGCATCCCCACATCCCCCAGGGATGGCATCACCCTGTGCATCCTCCTGGGAGTTACTTTAACTTCAGATAATGCCCCAAAAAATCAGGAAATTGCCACCATCAGGCAGCAGGGAGGAAGGGAATGAGCCACAGGTGCCTGTTTGGGATGGGGAAGGGGAAGGTGGAGGGAGCAGCACCCCCAGCCTGGGGGTGAGCAGGGATCCCTGCTGGTCCCCATGTTGCCACATCCTTCCACACAGGGCAAGGAAGAAAATAATAATAATTACATATTAAAAAAAAAAAAAAGAAAAGAAAAAGCAGACAAAATTGTAGCAGCAATTTCCCAATTTATTGAACTGATTGATTTTTGCAGGTATGTCTAAGCTAAATCCCATCACAAAGGTTCTATCCGAGGGGCAGCCCCCGGCAGGTGAGGAACTGGGCAGCAACTAGAAAATAAAATCAGATTTACCTGAAACTACATTGACAGAAAATCAGTACAACACAGCATGTTCTCCCACTGACTTCTGGTTACGAAATCTCCTCAACCTCCCCAAAATATTAAACACATCTTCAATACAAACACAGGTTTATAATAATTAATATAAAGTCAGTATAATATAGAATATTCCCAGCAAAAAAAAAATCAACAATCTTCAAACACCATCCTTTTTGTGTTTGTTCAGCTTTATTTTTGTAGACAGGTTTAAAGCACGTTGAAAAATAAATATATATGAAAGCATACACACAGCACTCTGACTAGGGGGACTAAAAAAAAAAAGGTTGAAATTCAAAACACGACTCAGGATCTACAAAATCAAAGGAACCATTAATTATGGCTTTTGTAGGAGTCACATGTGTCACAGAATGAGCAAAAATTAGATTATCTTTCAGAATATTGCAAAAAATTCCAGTTTTTGCATTGTTTTCATGGAGTTTCTTTCCTCAAGGGTGATGTGCAAAAGGGGGAGCTTTGAGGGGAGGTGCTCAGGGTCAGCCCCCAAACGCAGCCACCCACCCCAAAGCCACGGCTTTGCCTGGGGGAAATGGAGTGTTTAAAGGCAGGAGTGGGGAGAGGAAAAACAAAATGGGAAGTAATGCTGGAGTGGGTTTCCTTCTGGACAAAAATTACTCATTTTGTTGTCCAAAAACCTGGGTTTTGATTAAAGAAGGAAAAAAAAAAAAAAAAAAAAAGAAAGAAAAAGGAAAGGACAATCACTTTGCAAACCTTCATTAGGGAATCCCCCTCTGCTTCCCCACAAAGCCGCTCTGCAGCTGTGAGTGAGGCTTTGGGGTGACCTTAAAAACCATAAAACTGGGGAATTCACGGTTTCAAGAATATTTCTGGAAATCCCAAATCAACACAAGGACCTTGTTTATCTCCATCCTTTAAGATGTTCTCCAAGTCCATGGATCCCTGGGATGTTCTCCAGAGGGCTCAGACAGGACGATGCCCTCTGCCCCATTCCGCTCTCTACTCCTGGCACTCAGATTTAAAATAAAAAATGAGGGTAATCAAGGAATTCAAGGAGGAACATTTACATGTACAAATGCTTTAAAAAAATGAATTGCAAGTTCTCAAGACGGAGTATATCCATGTTTTACCTCTACGGGAGTTATTGTTGTGGAACTAAGTCTGTATATATATACACACACATATATATATATTTAGAAAAAATTAAAAAAAGGGAACCTCAGTGAAGTATAGAAAGCCCTGAAGGGAAATACAAAGACAAGATGCAGAACAGGCAGAATTAGTGGGGTTTTGTTTAAATCTCCAAGAGCAGAAGTTTGCATAGGCAGTATATCCGAGCGACCCCGGAGAGAAGCTGGAGGGATGCGATCACCTGGAGTGACTGATGAAGTTTATAAAGTTTCAGCATAAAAAACACGCCCAAATTCCTGTTTTTCAAACCCAAGTCGGAGCATGGAAGGTTAAAGATGAATCCCTGTGTTTCCAACTCTGCACAGCTCCATCAGAACAAAGCACTTCAGTAGACATCAGGTGTTAGAAGGGTTTTATTTGGTACACGGTGTGTGTTAGTGGGACAGAAGCACATGGGAGGTTATGACATGGGAAAAGTTAGTTTTTATGTGGATTTTCTATTTTTCTCTCCCTTTTTTTTTTTTTTTGCTTTATTTTTTGCATCCTCAGTTCAAAGAGCCTCTAAGTGACACAATTTGGAAACACTCCTGAGCGCTACCTGGCTCTCTGCCCACCTTTAATAAAAATAAGGAAAGAAAAGAATAAAATATTTCCAAGGGGATTGTGAAGAAAGCTCAGCACTCTGTAATTCTGATGGCAAAATTGAGTCACCCAAGGGCAGGGAGGAAGAGGAGGGCTTGGCCCACACCTGCTCCTCCCCAGAAGGTGGATGCACACACCAGCATTGGAGGGGATGGGCCATTGGAATGTGACACAAACCCAGGGGTTTGAACTGTTTAGGCTTTAAAATTCTCTTTAAAATAGATTTTTACATATAAAAAGCAAAGCTAAAGATAAATCTTTTAAGTACTGTATGTATTTGTCTACATGCAACAGGTGAGGCTGCACATTCAGGATTTCAGGCACCCCCTAACCCCTCCCTATTTACAGGGTAAATGACAATAAATACAGAGCCCACACTCTGGGGGGGGGCCAAAATCAGGATAAGGGAACAGCCTCCTCACTCTCTGGGATTCCCCAAAGCCATTGGAAAAGGGTATATAAAGGTCCAATTGTGACATACTGGGTGGGTTTTTACAGCTTTTTAAATAGGGGAAGAGAAAGAAAGAAGTTAAAATGCAAAATGAGATTTTTACAAGTTAAGAAAAATGTTCTTCCATGACCTGCTCTGCTCTTCCCATATTTAAAGAAGAGGGTTATCCGTGCTCACTGCCTAAAGCAACAAGTGCCACTAACTCATCCAGTCAAAGGGGCAGCAGCAGCAGCAGGGCTGGTGTAGCCCCACTGAGCCACAGCAAGGATTTTAGGAAAGATCCGTGTTCCCACAGCACTGAACATCCCCAAATCCATGGGGCAGGAGCCTGGAGGCTCCCAATGGAAGCAAGGCTGAACTGGATGTAGAGAGAAGGTGGTGAATGTCTGCAAGGAGCTGAGGAGCAGAGAAAGAGAGTGAATGCCATAAACCCAGGATGCAGCTGGAAGGAGGGAAGGGAGGGAGATCCCAGCTCCTGCAGGTGCCAGGATCGAGGCTCCCACCATCCTCCATGAAATCCTGGCACCAAGTGGCTTAAATCCTTTCAGGTTATTTGCTTTATGGGGGTTTATTGTACAATTTGCTTTTAATTCCTTTGCTGGGTGGAACCACGCTTTTCCTCACGGACCACCAGGCCTGCAGGAAGGAAAATAGCACCTTGAGTCATTTGGCTTCTGGCAATGGGGTGTCTTTCGTGGCAGGTTTCAAGGTACCACAGTCACAGACATCATAAAAAATTGCTTGATGGCAAGGATGGAGTGAGGTCTTCAGCTTTTTTAAAAAATTTATTTTAAAAAGCACCAGAAGCAAAGAGGTGAAGGTAGAATAAGCTGTTTCTCAGGAATAAGACAATTCCAACATATGCTGTTGCTGTTGTTATTTAGGTGTCACTGAAAGAAGGCAACAGTGGCCGATATGAACAGGGAGAATCCAACTGTCTGGAACAGCCCAACAGAGTCTGAGGAGATGCTGGGAGAGAAACCTGGTTCTTATTTAAAGAAAAAATGGTTTATTGGAAAATTTACGTGGAACCAGTGCAACTAAAGCTGATGCTTTTTGTCATGAATTAAGTAGGTGTTAGACCTACCCATGACCAACAAGAATGTTGAGATTGGCAAGGAAGAACAAAGTAGCCAGGTGAAATCCTGGCCCCACAAAAGTCCATGGGATGGGAGCAGCAGGATTTCACCCTGCTGGGATCTCCTCACCTCGGCTTCTCGCCTTCCCCAGCTCATCCTGCACTTGGCTGAATGCCTTCATTTTGCTACAGTTTGCATATATTTGTGAAAAAGGCAGCTGAGCAAAGGGAGAAAAGTGAAGATCTTTGTGGAGAAGAATGACAGGTACAGAATTGTGTCCTCTAGAGCAAAAGGTGCTTCCAGAAGCACAAATGTGTTTCAGTGCTTGTGGATGATAAAGGCTGGAAGACAGGATGTGGGTAAGATGCCAGTAGGTCCAAGAAAAGTCACAATCTGTTTTTGATGGTGATTCTTTTGGAAGCTAAGAATCCAAGAGAAGTATTCGTAAGGCTGTAGTCTGACTTGCCTTTTGATCTATTTGGCTCCATAAAATATAATTAAAACTCTTTAAATAACTTTGCAAAAGGCCTGTATCATCAGGGGAAGCCCTCCAACACATCCATCCATCTGCTTTCACAACCTTAGCTTGAAATTCCACTGCTGCTGGGATTTTAGCACAGACAAGGTGTAAAAAAAACCCAACCAACCAACAAACCTG